TTGAAATAAGAAGTAATTGGCCTTCTAACCTCTGTGTTAGCTCATACAATGAGTCAGCACAAACCCTCTTAAGTTCAATGACCCTTTGCTTCAAAAGCCGTCCCAAGTAACTCGGCCAGAGTGGAAAAGGTCATCAGTAGACAACTTTGCGATTCTAGGTGACATCTTCCCCCACTACTATTTCAACAAAACATTGAACACAAGAAAACCTACCAAAAGAGTAGAAAACCCAAACACCATCCAAGACACAAGAGGTGTGCTGGTCACGAAACTTGGTGAAATAAAGAAGTGACCAAAAACAGACATACATAGACACAAGCCCCCTCCAAAAACATGCATTCTCTTAGAAGGTAACGAATTGATTGTAAACGTTTGAAAATATGAACTTCTTTTCTACATAGAATTGGTAGTAGATATAGTCTGTCATTCAAAACAGCCATACTGTATATTGCACACAGTAATATCTATTCTGTCATGGGCCTTCTAAGCGTTGTGTCATCACAAAACTGCTTGAGTTTGCAGATTCACTGACCCTTTGTTTCATAAGCCTTTTTGATGTCTTATATGTTTTTGTCATATGATAAAGTGTCCTGAATAGTGGGGTCGTGTGGCGCAACGGCAGCGAATGGCGAGAATGGCGGGCATGGCAAAAGTGGTGCTATTGGTCAGATGATAGTATTATTGGTTAGACCACTTTTTTTTTTCTCCCGGGTCAAAATTACTGAGCTCAGCACATACGTGTGGTGCTACCATTGGTTAGGTTTGGTCACCCCATGGATACCCTTTGTTCTCAGTGTTTCTTCTATGGTGGTTTGATTGTGATTTCAGAGCTTATGGCACACGTGTGGTGCTGCCATTGGTCAGAGATAATCACATCAAGGTCCTCTTTTCTTATCGCCCCTCTTATATACCTGTTGCCGCCCCTCAGTGGGTTACAGCTGCCGTTGCCGCGTCCATCGCGCGGATACCAGCTGCAGTTCGTGTGAAACTTCAAAGTGTTTCCCGCGACGTCCAACTTTGCTCTTCGGTCTTCCTATACCAGATTCACCGCATCTGTTCTCGGACAAACCGCGACGAGCGTTGCGCTACTCATCCGACGCAAGTTTCGCCAGAGCACTAGGTACGAAGTGGAGGTGAGCAGCTGCGCATGCTTTTCATTCGTCCTTTTCTAAACGTACATGTAGCTATCGTCCTCTGTCGCTCCCTCAAGTTATAACCGACAAATTTACCGGTTCTACATCCTCGATCGTTCTAACAATGGACTATGTCTATGCCGGTTACTTTAGAGCCCGTTTACTTTCTCATGGCCCAACGTATGTGGTCCTCTGTCTTTCATATGTTTTTGAACCCTTTCAGAGAACCCCGCCCCTTCAAGATCTCATTGATCATTCAACCATTCTTCACTTTAGATAAAACACTTGTTTCTGTTACTGGTTATCTCAGATTCTAAATCTGTAAAGTCAGGCCTCAGTCCTCGCAGTGTTTTTATTTTCGAAAAGAGATGACCCAGTTACATTTATTAACATAAACTATGACTTAGCGTCAAGACAACTATCTCTGGATGAATGCACCAGAGACGCATCAAGCTATGTAGAAAATTCGCATTTTCTGTAGCAAAATCAGCCGCTTACGCTAGCTGGCTATCTCCCAGACGTGAGGATATGCATTGTAGAGCGCTGAGGTCTAAAATCAAAATTTTGCAAGTCAGGTGCAGAACGTCTAGGGCTAGAAACAGCATGATACTGTTCCTTGTTAAGCCAGTGAATTGCTAGCCTCGCCCGCTCTTCTGTATCATAATTGTGGTAACTAATTGTAGACAACACATCTTTTACTCGTCAATTATGCCCCAATTCAGTGACTGTAGCTGCAATGGCATGTTATCTGTTATTTATTGAAATAGACCTGTTATTAATTCATTTAACTATAAAGATTATCTGATGATATTCACGTGGAAATCTGACTCAGTGCAACAGACAAAACGTTCAGATGTCGCTTTTTGTAGCCATTGAAAAACTGTTTCTCGCGACTATATTTGTTCAGCTAGTATGAGCATAAGTTAGAAAGGTTATGGGAGACATAAATCCCTACTTGTAATGTGGCGTAGTGTGGCGTAGTGGTAGAGCGTTCGGCGCTCAGACAAGGAGACCCGGGTTCGATCCTCGATATGGATCCGCTGAGGAAGACGGATTCCTTACGTGTGTTGGTTTCAGATTCGCATCCTGTAATCCACATTGAACAAATCCAAGCGAAGCCATCGTGTTAACCCTCCTCACTCAGGTGTAGGCACTAACACGGTCTCCATTGTCTCTCGAGGCAGAAGGATGCCAACTACTTGTAATGTTAGCAAGCAGTCTTGCGTGACTCGTCGTTTTATATAGCTACCCACTCCAACAATGGAACGACGTGGATGATGTTCCTGCCGTTGCTTATGGCTGTCACTGTCATATTACCTGAGTTTCCAAAGGGACGGTGGTCGGTCTGGCTCAAAAGTTGGCTGGGGGTTGGTGGGGTGTCCCCGGTCGGTCATGCTACATTCACATTTCAGAACCAATTTTCTGTGGGGCCGGTGGTTTATGGGGTGTTTCTATTCTTCAGCCCCGGGCCCCATGAAAAGTGAGAGGTGAATGCTATAAGGATCATGTTTTGGTGTATATATCAAGATTCGTCGGACGGAGTGCAATGGTATTTGGCAGGTGGGTAGGTGGGTTCAAGTGAATTGTCTGGGTTGACTTCGGGCCCCTGGTGATTGACATTGGTACTGCTTTATTGAGTTTATTGAGTTATTGAGTCTCATTAGCTGCCTACCCGAGGGTGACAGCTATTCTTCCAGGAGAGAGTATACACATAAACGTTACAAAACATACTGCAGTAGGATTATCTTTGGCGCTTGACGGTCTACGGACAAGATGCTTCGCAGGTCACTCACTTAAAAATTGGGTCAGCTGGGTCTATTTCTGGGTCTATCTGGCAGGTGTTCCTCTATTTTTATCTCCAGATAATTTGTGCCTGCAGGTAATATATCCTCCCTCTTATCTTGCACCTTGATGCCTGCGGCTTGATTGATTGATTATCTTGCATGGCGTCTAGACAAATTTCCCAGTACTAAGCTTCGGTCCCAATTGCGCCGTTGCCCGTCGGGGATGTAGCCCGGCCCGTCCCGGTCGGGCTCAGGAGTCGGTCGGGCACCGGCAATGGTGGTCACAATTAAACGTTTCCTTCAGTAGCATTTTGTTAAAAATTTTGTCACCCTCTTTGGTCGGTATCCGGCAGGCACCCGGCAGATTCTCTGACGATGTCTTGTACTGACCTACATGTATACGTAATGCAGAATTCACGCTTTTGTTGTGATCATTTGATCTGTGACGTTACACATTTTACCCGGGTTTACCAAGTACATACCTTTATTCTGTTCATCTGGTCTGTGACGTAACAAATGTGTTTTGGTGGACTGCCGGCAACCGGAGGGGTACCTCTCGGTCTTCTCACGGTGAGGTCATGGCGTCTTTTTGTCAGCGGGACTCCGGGTAGAATTTAAGTCGGAATTAAAATCTTCTCGAGTCCCTGAGGGGCCCCAAAATAGCCCGGTAACCGCAGGGTGTCTCGAGGGGCCACGTAGGGGTCACGCCCGAAAGTGCCAAAACAGCCCGGGAACTACCCGTCAGGGCCCCTTTTTTTCAATTGGGACCGACGCATAAGCAGGGATGCGTGCCACAAGGAAGTTAGTTTTTGGAATTTCCCACTGTTGTCCATATGGTGGTCTGACTTCTCTAGTACGATTAGTACGAAGACACATTTTTCGGCTTCATTTGTTACATCACCTCTGACTTATTATATATAGTAGTAGATAGGAATTCATTTCGCTGCGTAAGAATTGCGCCATCTGGCGACTGTACGTTTTGTCACAGTTGTTCAACCAGTATACCTTGATCGAGTTTGGGGAAGATATAAATCTCTACTGGTAGTTATAGAGTTAGCAGCCAGTCGTGCGTAGCTAGTCGCTTCAGGCTAAACCTACACGCCCTCTTGCCTTGTTTAATGGGTGTCCTGTCACATTTCTTACTATCAAAAATACATTGTAATACTTAGGAATAAAAAGATAGACTGTACTAGTATGTCATTAGAGTTATTTATATACATGTGTATGGTGTTTCCCATCTGGTATTCCAGTTCTTCTTTGAGATACCGATTAGATATTAAAGTACTAGATAATAAATGCATCCCAACTCCTTTGAATTACATTTGCTTATGATTTGATTTATTGAACTGTATAAAGTATACATCCAGGACTGCCCCACTATCCGTAGGGCTAGCCCTAATAAGGCCACGCCGACTTCATTTTATGGATGACATCCGTGCGCGCATTGATTTTCGCCTGCTCTTAAAAAAAAAACAGAGCACGTCCTCCGAGGCTCTGGCCTGGATAGTCCAAGGTAAATAGCGACAATGCGGAGCCGGTGGTAACTTTGGACGACGACACACAGACTGCTGAAGCTCCACGACTCAAGAACTCAGTACATACCTACAGTGCCGATTTACAGTACAAAAAGCCAGCATGTGCCGGCTTGTCGTATACGTGTACTGCCGCAAATTCATAAAACCATCTTTGCATCCCTGTGGTTTAGTGGCATTTTTATTTTTGGCCGGAATTTTTTTAATTCCCCCGCGCGCACTAGTTTGGGGGGTTCTTCAGAGGATGTCATCCATAAAATTAAGTCGGTGTAGCCTAACAGGATAATAAACGATTAGGAACATCTAACAATTACTTGTATAAGAAAGTCGTCAGCCGTAAGAGTTGGAATCATTTAGTGAAGGTATGAGATCCTAGAACCATAATTTACTGCGAATTCCACACCCGCCATTTACCGTCATGAAATGTCATGAAGGTTCTTTGCTTTTGTCTATTTAGTATTAATGTTGCTTCTTTTGGGTAAAGATTTGCAGTTAAGAAGGCTGTCATGGCACTAATAGTGTCATTTTAACCTGTATATTAGTTCTCCAACATGAAGAAGGCAGTGGGGCATGTACCTTTGCCCACCATGTAAATTTAGTGGGTGTCCTGTTTCTTTCCCTACTCCAAAAAATGACATGAGATTGAAAAGAGAGTGTCTGTAGTTAGTATTATCCACATATTGATGGTGATGTGGTTTTCCACACCTCTGAAATTCCAGTTTGTGGTGTAGTTATAAATAATGACCTTCGAAGCTTCACCAACATGTTTTTTCGGGAGGGGGGTGTCCGTTTGTGAATACGATAACTTCAGAATGTGATGTTGTTAGATCGTGTTTTTTTTTTGCTATTTAATATGCATGTTGCACGTAGATCTTTTGTGTAAGGATATGCAGTTCTGCCATGACACTAATATTGTCATTCTCATCTATATTTTAGTTCTTCACCATGAAGAAGGCAGTGGGGGTAGGCCTACCCTTGGTGCTGATTCTGGCTGTTTCCGTGTATCTCATCGGAACTTTGTCATGGGAGGAGGAACAATTGTCGAAACCCGGACACCGCGTCATCAAAAGGTCCATTTGTAAGTACATGACTAATTACAACTTCCATGAAAAATGGAGGTATTGTTTTTTGTGTGTCTGTCTGTCTGTGTGTTTGTGTTTCCGCACATTTGTAGTCAGCATAACTTCATAACGAATGTGTAAGTTCCTTAAAGGTTAACACCAGTATGCATACATTATGTTAATGTAGAGGCCATTTGCATAATTAATGAGGACATGTTGAAATGAAGTCTGACAAAGGAGAGGAATTTTACACGAAAAATATTATTTGAATTTAGAAAACCATAAATTAAACTAGATTATAATAATTCCGGCCTTGTTTATAAAAATCGTTAATGGTACATTAAAAGGAGCGTCTTACTTTAAAAAACATGTGGTGTACGAGTACAATAATGAATTTCCTACGTGACATAAATATAAAAGCAACATTTGTCAGCAGTGTTCTTGGGTTTCATTTAGTATTAACTATTAAGTATTCTTATGGACGGTACTGCACTATTTCTGTATCTAGTGGTACGAGAGATTGGTAAAGTCAGTGCTTTGCGTTCCGTAGATTACGTCCATGTGTCTCTGCGCGGGTTCGGGGTAACAAGTCTGCTGTTCGTTCTGATGCTTGTAGACAGAGGCTGGTTCGTCTCCTCTGTTCGAGAGTTTCAAGTCCGCACAGTTGCAAGGCTGACGCGTAGTCGGTGTAGTGTCGCCCGAGGATCGTCCGGCAGGCGCGTCTCTGAACCTTTTCGAGAGTTGCAGACTGTTCGCGCGTTAGGTTGTGGTGGTGCACTGGGGCGCCATACTCCAAGATTGGTCTAACATAACCGCAGTACACTGTAATCAAGTCATCCATCGGAAGTCCGAATGTTTTCAGTCTTCGGAGCATAAACATGCGCTTATTTTCCTTTTGTGTAGATTCGCTGACTTGTCTGTCCCACTTCAAGCTGGTTTGCAGCCACATTCCCAACACTTTAGCCACGTCCACCGTCGGAAGGGGTTTGCCCTCAAGGGTTATGGGTGGAGGGGGAGGAGGGTTCCTCATAAAACACACAGTTAGTATCATGCATTTGTCCGGATTCAATTTCAGTTGTGCATTGTTAGACCACAGTTCGAGTGAGTCCACTTGCTCTTGAAGAGTTGACTGCTCTCTCTCATGTTTGTTTTCACCAAGTGATGAATCGTCCACGTACTTCCACCGATCGTCATGAGATTCACTCGCGTCATTGATCATGCATAAGAAAATAACGGGGCCTAGCTTAGTGCCTTGGGGCACACCTGTAGATAGTGTTTCCCAGTCTGACACGGCTGATCCGTAGCGTACTCTCTGTCGTCTTCCCGTTAGGAAACTTACAATCCATAGTAGTATTGAGACTCTAGTGCCCATGCCCAACAGTCTGCATATGGCGAGTTGATGGTTGACGGTGTCCAATGCTTTTGTGAAGTCCGTTAAGACTTACCCTTCCAACATTACCGGATGCTTCCGCTCCTTGATACAGAAAATGTGTCAAGCTTACGAGGCAGTGGGTAGTTGAACTTCTCTTGATAGATCCGAATTGACGCCGATCGATCTGAGACCAGATGTCCGCTGTGACCCACTTTGCCACTAGGCCTTCGCATATCTTGGCAAAGATATTCTTGTTTCGTTTGCAAAGAGAGATGACACAAAGTAACACCAATTAGAGCATGGTAAAAAGCAGTGCAATAACTATTCATTTATCCAATCAAAGGCTCTAACAAACAGCGTTCTTTATAACATTAAGGAATGAATTGCCACATTTATGCTGATTTCACATTTCCAAACCGGGGCCCGAGCAGGCTGTTTGCATCCACGAAAATTTAAAAATTCATGTCAATAATTTAAAACAAATAGTACTAATGATTAGTTTCTCAAATGTTTTCCGTTTTCTTGCCTTTCATATCGTACTTTTCGTTTTCGTTTTCAGCTAGGCCCCGGTTTGCAAATGTGACCTCGGCATTAACCCTAAACAGTACACCTGGGGTCCGCGCGGACCCCAGCACTATATATTCTGTAATATCTTTTTTGTTTCTAAAGATTTTTTTCTGAAATTTTAGGTAATTGTCACCCACAAAGTTGTCTCTTAATACAGTGCAGAAGACTCCGTTTCTACCATTTATAAAAAAAAATTATATCTGATTTTCTTTTGGGGTCCGCGCGGACCCCAGCCGGCTTTCGATCATAATGGATACACTGGCGTTCTTATACATTACCTTATTTCCGTTTTTATATGTTTTTAGGCACTCATCGTATGTCTACCAAGTTTTCAGAGAATGGTGTAGTAATAGAATTAAATTTTAATAACTTTGGTGTAATTATAACGTCATATGACGTCAGAGCTAATAATATAGTCCGCCATATTGGATTTTGACCAATGACGTCATCAAATTAGCATATTCTATGCATATCAAGTGATGTAACTTATATTTATTTATGTAAGAGGTTATTAATGTTGGAAAAGAAGTGTAATTTAATATAAAAGTCAGAAATTTTTTATGTTTAAACCAAAATTACTTCTATTTTCAAAAAAACTGCCTGCTAGGAACCCGTTGCCATGGCAACACAAAAAAACATCAACTTACTAGTATTAAACTAATATGAACTTTTTTCCAGAGACATTTTAGGAAAGGTCTCCAAATTTGATACTTCTAGCGCAAGCCGTTTAGTCGCTATCTGAGATCAAAGTTGGGCCTCAAAAGCCCCTTCAGTCTGAAATGGGTTTAAAAATCGGGTATTTCTCCTTGTCTTCTTTTCTTTACCAAAAAATAGAAAAAGTTCAAAATGTATGATTTTTGTATGTAATGTGGACACAGAGGTTCCCACATCAGTTTGCAAAACAATTGAGCTGGTAGCATGTTGATAATTTCTAAAAATTAGCAAAAAACTGTTCTGGGGTCCGCGCGGACCCCAGGTGTACAGATTAATCAGTCCGGGAAGGTGTACTGTTGAGGGTTAAAGGTGTACCAAGTAGGCATTTGAATATGTTTAATTAAGAGGGTAAAAGTATCTCTATTGGTCAGGGAAATGACGGACATGCATATGATCTTTCCAAAACATGAAAAACTTTGTCTAGTTCTCCAACCTCAAGTTTAATTACCTTGACTACAAATCTGAATTTGTCAGGTTTCTTTGAAAGGCCAGCACAAGTATTAAGAGAGTCAATATATTGAAAAAAATTCTCGGACGCATTCTTTTATGTTAACCAGACATGGCACTCGACATTATTACTAATTTCTTGTTTCGTTTTTGCCACAGGTACAATGAATATCGTGTACATCGACTATGTCATAGTATTTGTGATGCTACCTGCAATAGTGATCGCAGGTAAGATACACTTTTGGTAGTTAGTTTGGCTAATGGGGTTTAATATACAAGTTAACTGGCTTATAATATTTGCATAAAGGTTCTTTATGAATGTTCGC